AAATTTAATATAATTTCTATCAAAATCCCAACTAATTTTGCTGTGTAGATAGATAAAATATGTGTGAAAAAGCAGAGGTCCAAGTATAGCCAAGAAACCCTTGAAGAAGAACAAATGGAATTTTTTGCCCTATCAGTTATCAAGAATATTAAAGCTATTATAATTAAGACTGTGTGGTCTCTGTAGACCAGTGGACAGAATAGAAAGTTTAGAAGCWGGTCTATAAATTTATGGAGTTAATAAAGCTGACATTGAAGGCTGTAGGAAAGATAAGTTTTTCAGTTTTATACAGTTGGTTAATCATACATGGGAAGAAATAGATTGGCTTCCTAAACTTTAAAACTTTAAAAGGCAAACCATAAAACATGTGGAAGCTTAATATGCTTGTAGGTAAGGAAGAATTTCTTACCCTAAAAGCATTGGCCATGAAAAGTAAATGTTCATAAATTCTGCTATATGAAAAATGAAGAATTTCTCTTCATTGAATGATATAAAGATAGTGAAAAGGCAAGACACAGTGAGAAGATATTTGAATGTATATAATTTATAGACTTTATGAGTCAATAAGAAGAAAAATAACCATATAGAAAAATAGAAGAACAAATTAATAGGAATTCTTGGGAGAAGGAACATTAAGTGACCATTAACATGAAAATATGTTCAATCTCATTAGTAGTCAGAGAAATGTAAATGTTAAACCAGCATTTCATACTACCAGATTAGCAAAAAAAAAAAATTAAATGACTGACATTATCAAGTGCTTGGGGGCAGGGCGGGGCGGGTGTGTGTGTGTGTGTGTGTGTGTGTGTGTGTGTGTGAACTGTCATCTCATACACTGCTAGTAGAAATATTAACCACTTTGGAAAGGGATTTGGTATTGCTTGAACTTCAGTGTTTATTTATCTATTGCCATGTAACAAATGATTCCAAATTTTAGTGTTTTAAAACAACTTTTTTTTTTTAAGGTAATAGGGAATCAACTTAGAGTGTTGGGTAAATGCTAGGCAAGGCTCTCCCACTGGGCTGCAATCCCCAACTCCTTTTTTGTTTTGTTTTGTTTCAATTTTTTAGTTGTATACGGACATAATATCTTTATTTTTTATTTTTACGTGGTTCTGGGGATCAAACCCAGTGCCTCACGCATGCTAGGCAAGCGCCATACCACTGAACCACAACCTCAGCCCCTGTTTTGTTTTGTTTTAATTTTATTTTGAGACAGTATCTCAATAAGTTGCTCAGGCTGACCTTGAAYTTGTAGTACTCAACCCTCAACTTCCAGGATTGCTGAGATTATGTGCACCACCATGCCTGGCAAAAACAACTTATTTTTCACAATTCTTTGGGTTGCCTGGGTTCTTCTCCATGTAGTGCATACATATGGCTGCATCTAGCTGGTAATTTTGCTAAAATGTCTTAAGTAGCATCAACAAATGATGAGAGGCCATGTGGAGAGACACTCTGGAGGGTGTCTGTTCACATGGCCTCTCATCATTTGTTAATCTACTCACTAGCAGCAGGACATCTGGCTTCTAAGAGAAAGTAGAAGCTGCCCACCTTTTTATGGTTTGGAAATTCAAGAGTGTTGCTTCTGTCACATTCATTTAGTCAACAAAAGCCATAGGCTAACCCAAACTCAAAGGGAGGGGAAAATGTACTCCTTCTCTTGACGGAAGGAATGTCAAAGAATTTGTGGTTACCTTTGATTCATAACAATATCTTTAAGCCAACAGTTACACTAATAGATATGTGTTCTAGGGAAACCCTTGCATGTGTGACTGAAGATAGGTTCAACAGTATTTATCACAGCATTGTTCATACTGCCAAACAACAAAATACCTGGAAAATACCTTCCACTAAGTCCATAAGCAGCAGGATAAATAAAAAATTTATAGTTCATATGTGGACTCTCATATGTTGATAAAAAWAAAAAGTATAGTCACTTGCATCAACATGGTTAAATCTCCAGTGTTTGAAAGAAGCAAATCTCAGAATAACATATACTATATGAATCTATTATATAAAGTTCAAAATTAGACAAAAACCTAAACAGCATGTTGTTTAAACAATGCTTAGGCAAAACTTTTCTGAGAAGTACCAGACAGTAAATATTTGGCTTTATGTAGATATACATATCAATTTCCATTTTTTTTYCACAAGGTCTACTAATGGGGAAAATGGAATTCTATTTTTGAGATGGTAGTGTGGTATAATATAGTTCCTAGAGCTGCTACCACAAACTGGGTAGCTTGAAACAAATTTTTTTTTTAGATATTTATTTTTCAGTTTTTGGTGGACACAACATCTTTGTTTGTATGTGGTACTGAGTATCGAACCCAGTGCCCCATGCATGCCAGGCGATCGTGCTACCACTTGAGTCACATCCCCACCCCTTGAAACAAATTTTTAAAAAAATATTTATTTTTTAGTTGTAGATGGACACAATATYGTTATTTTATTTATTTATTTTTATGTGGTGCTGAGGATTAAACTTAGGGCCTCACACATGCTAGGCAAGTACTATATTGCTGAGCCACAACCCCAGGCCCTTGAAACAAATTTATTCTCTCATTGTTCAGGAAGCATGAAGTGTGAAATCATGGTGTCAGCAGGGCTCTGTCCTTCTGAAATGCTGAGTAGAATCCTTGGTCATTTCTTCCTAGTTTTTGACGGTGCCAGCAGTCAGGGGTAATCCCCCTCTAGCAGCTGTATCCCTCCAATCATATGGTGTTGACAACATGGCATGTGGCTGTCTTCACATAGTCTCCTTTCTTCTTAGGAGGACACCAGGAATAATTGCATTAAGGGCCCACCCTACTCTAGTAAGACTTCATYTTAGCTAGTTCTGTTTTCAAATAAGGTCATATTCTGAGGTATTGGAGTCTAGGACTTCATCATGTCTTTTGGGGGAACACAATTCAGTCAATAACAGGGAAATAATGTTTTGCTTAGTTGGTGTTCAAGGTAGTGCTCTATCAAATTGATCACAAATATTCATCTGTAAAAAAAACTTTCTCAACTTTGATCAGACATACATAAGCAGTGGTCATATTTGGCTTGTGGGCCATAGTTTGCTGACCCTTGGTTAAGAGATTGATACACAGATAKTAGAAATGATTACAAAAACAACAACAACAGGGAAGAATGATAATATTTAAGGTAGTTTTTACTTTGTGGGGTGGGAGAAGGAAGGAGGATAGAGTGGAGAGAAATAGACGGGTGGTGGCAATATTTTTTTTTCTTGGTTATACCACCATTCATTTTCGTTTTGTTCTTTTAGCTTTGCACATTCATTTTACRTGCTTTTTGTATATTTGCTGTATTTTACCAGAAACTGTCTCCACTTTTGCCTTCTCCCATTTTCTGCTTTCTTCTCATCAAATAGTTATTCCTTATTAAAAACCTCTCCTCCTTTCACCTCTGCTGTCCTACTTGAGGAGTGCAAGCCACCCTCCAGGGCTTGGCAGGAGCCGGACCTTCTTTTGTTAACATGCTTGCCTGTCCATGACCACTTTTTTTCTTTGCCATTGTCACTTTTGCTGTCTTCTCTTCACCTTTATCTTTAGGCAGGCTGTGTTATTTGTCCTTAGAAAGCAAACAAGAAAGTAGTTTTCCTTCTTTGTCATCCTACTTTATTTTAGGTGTTTCCTTCTCATGAACAACTAGGAATGTAAGATGGAAGGATGTGAAGAATGAAGTGGACATAGGGAACTGTCAATGCATTCAATCAGAGTATTTCTGATCAATACTTAGCTCTTTTAGAGCCCTTTAGGGGCTCTTTGGTTGTTGATACCGGAGATTGAACCCAGGGGTGCTCTCCCACTGAACTATGCCCCGATCCCATTTTTTTTTTTTTTTTTGAGATACAGTCTTGCTAAGTTGCCATCTTGCCTTAAATTTGTGGTCCTCCTGCCTCAGCCTTCTTAGTAACCATGATTAYAGGCATGTGCCCCGCACTGTGGTCTAGGTTGGTTTGTTTAACAGCTTTACTAAGATGTGCTTCACACCAAACATTTCACCTGTTTTAAATATGTAGTTCAGTGGCTTTTAGTATATYTACTAAAATCACCACAGTCAATTTAAAAACCTTGTAATAACTGAGTGGTGTGATGATTCATGCCTATAATCCCACCTACTGAGGCAAGGAAGATGCAATTTAACCAGACCCTGTGCAAAAGAAAATAAAAAGGGCTAGGGGTGTAGATCAGTGGTGGAATCTTTTCCTAGCATATGTGAGGCCTTGGGTGTAATTCCTAGCACCACAGAACACAAAAACTTTTCCACTCACTTTCAGCTCTCAACTCCCAACCCTCCTACTCTCAGCTCTAGGCAGCCCCTGATCTTGTGTCTCCATAGACTTGTCTATTCTGGATACAAAATGCAGTCCTAACACATGTGGTCCTTTGTGACTACATTCTTTCACTTAGCAAAATGCATTTGATTCATTCATGTTATGGTAGCATTTATGTAAGCATTTTATTCTCTTTTATTGTATGGATATATGCTACATTGTTTATCTATTCATTAGTTGATAGACATTAGGGCTGTTTCCACTACTATGAACATCCACTGAACCATTATTTGTTTTACATAGTTTCTTTGTTATGTATTCATTGTAGAAAATTTGAAAAGTATTAGAGAATATAAAGAACCTGGTGAAATTTATGCATAATTCTGCCATTCAAAAATAAGCCTTGTTAATACTTTTTTTGTGAAATAATGCATGTTTGTGTATAGTATTTTATTAATTTCTCATTAAAATTTACTTTGAGCAGATTTTGTTTGCCAAACCACAGTAAGAMTGCAGTTGTCATAAATAATTTATAAGTCATTATGCAGTGGGAGTATAGCAGAGTTATTAGCTATCAGATGGGCAGCAGGGGCTTAGAGAAAATTTCACAGAAGAAGAAATATGTATATTATGAAAATGTGCATGAGCTCCTGATACTGGTTAGTAATAAAATATTGCACTTTCTAACAAGGTCACATTTGTTCTGTTGTAGGAAGCTAGCAGGATGTACAGTTTTTATCACAGGTGCAAGCCGTGGCATCGGCAAAGCTATTGCATTGAAAGCAGCAAAGGATGGAGCRAATATTGTCATTGCTGCAAAGACTACCCAGTCACACCCCAAACTTTCAGGCACAATCTATACTGCTGCTGAAGAAAGTGAGTATGTCAGTCCCATTTCATGAAGTGCCCTCACAGTGATCTCTATAGTTTAAGCTATTTGAAAAATACCCTAAGATAATTTTATCTGTTTAAGGAAATATTTATTTTGTTACCTGAAAGCAGGAGTTTTGACTGTTTTTCTTCTCTAGCACTTCTAAGCCATATGAGAGATTTCAGTTAAAAATCATGTCTCAGGGCTGGGGATGTAGCTCAGTGGTAGGGCAGTTGCCTACTGTATGGGTGGCTCTGGGTTTCATCCCCAGCATCCTCCTTCTTCCCACCAGGCAATAATTCTTGAATGGGAGGGATCGATGGAGTGAAAATGGAGAGGAGACCATCTGAGTGGGGGATGGTGTGAATATTTTGAAAAAACTCTTACTCTCTGTTCACTTTGCAAGTTGTTCTCTTAATGTTTTCAGTTGATGAATAATTGTGCTTATTTTCAGGGATTGTGCTAGGCTCAGTAGCAGGAGAAAAGGCTTAAATATTCAAGTCCAGTTTTGCTGATCAAGATTATAGCATTGTTGGTTATGTTGGAGAAAATGAGCAGGAAGTGCTTAGAAGGGGAAGATAAACTGGCAAAACAGGAGCAATAGGTGATATATTAATGACAATTCTTTAAACTAGCCTGTTATTTTTGTGTACTTTGTGAAATTTTCCATGTTAAAAGTTTTTTTAAATTACCTTCCTTTTTTTTTTTTTTAATAGAGTTGGCCCAGTTAGTCTGAAGCTGGATGGGGTTAGTCAGTCTGTCCTACTGAGTGGTAGAGTCACTAGTGGTTATAACACTGTAGTAATTTATATTGATTTTCTGAAAATAGGGTACTTTTTTCTTTGGACGGTTATATCAGAATGGAAGGTGTACAGTATTTGAGTGTGCTGATGCTTTTCTGTTTGTTTGCCCTTTGTAGTTGAAGCAGCTGGAGGGAGAGCCTTGCCATGTGTCGTTGACGTGAGAGATGAACAGCAAATCAACGACGCAGTGGAGAAAGCCGTTGAGAAATTTGGAGGTAGTGCCTTAATTCTGAAGTAATTATTGACTATTGATAAAATATAGGTATAATAACACCCAGTGGATGATTATTGGATATTGATAAAGTGTAGATAGTATCAGAACACCCAGTGGATGCCCAAAACCATGGATAATAACTGAGCCCTATAAATTCTGTGTTTTTTCGTATACATACAATATGATAAAGTTCAGTTGTAAATTAGGTCAGTAAGAGATTAACAACAATAATCAATAATAAAATAGAACAGTGATAATAATATGATTATAATAAGTTGTCTGACTGTGGTTTCTCCCTTTCATAGTCTGAACTTTGAGGTACATAACTCACCGAGCACGTTAGCATAACTAGCCCACATTCCTTTTTCCTTCTTCACAGTGTCATCTGTAGAAGATTCATTCTTACTGTAGTTCTTAGCAGCCTCAACATGACAAAATTTTTATTTCCTTGAGAACTTTCACCTTCTTACTTAAAGCACTTTATGGCTTTTCTGTTGCTTATCTGAAATGCCACCATCACTACTTTTACATTTTAGGGCCATTGTTAAGTAAAATAAGGATTCCTAATACATAAGCATTGTCATTGTGATACCGGGACAGTCAATTTGATAACCAAGATGCCTACCAGGTGACTAATGGGTGGGTAGTACCCCACTTTGAAGGCTGGGAGGCAAGAGAATCACAAGTTTGATGCCAGTCTTGGCAACTTAGCAAGACCTTATCTCCAAATAAAAAATAAAAAAGGCTGGGAATGCAGCTCAGTGGTGAAACACTGATGGGTTTAATCCCCAATACTATTAAAAAAAAAAAAGTGAGAAAGAAAGAAAAAAAATAGTAACAGAAATTGGTAMTGAAGGGTATGGAAATTGAGAAATGAGAATATGATCCAAATTTTATAATGTTACTATCTATGAAGAAAGGGTGCTTATGACTAAAGTATTTTAGTGAATTTAATGATCTTATTTAAATAGTTTTCCACATGTTTTGAGAAAGGGGATTGGAAAAGTTAGCAGAATAGTAAAAGATGTTCTTAGAAGCTGTCTAACCCAAGAAGTAGAAATTGTAGTATTCCTGCTTTATGGAATATTAACTGTCCTCTCCTTTTTTTGCATTCATTTTTTAAAAATTTTTAAAAATTGTGGCAAAAGACAAAACTTTCCATTCTGACCATTTTAAAATATATAGTTCAGTAGCATTAAGTTCATTCATACTGTGCAACAGTCATTAAGTGAACTTTAAAAAAGAATAACAAAGGACATGTRGAAACAAAGGAAAACATTTGACATATTTTATATTTTGCCATTTTCATTTGGTATTATTTCATTAAGCATATAACTATAAATGATACATAGTAGAAACTGGATGGAGTATACAGAACTAGATACAGTATACAGAAATMAGTTAAAGATTTGTGTTTTTTTTTCCCGGCCCTGGGGATTGAACCCACAGGTGGGCGCTTGACCATTGAGCCACATGCACAGCACTGTTTATTTTTTATTTTGAGACAGTCTTACTCAGTTGCTTATGGTGTCACTAAATTGCTGAGGCTGTCCTCAAATTAGTATTGTTACTGCACCCTGCTAGTTATTATTTATGTGTGTATGTGAGTCACTAAAACAAAATTGATCCATTTTGATCCTTTTTATGGGATTGAAAGTTAAGGTCTTTCTCTTCCCAGTTTCAAGAACAGAAAGGAGCCCTTGCCTTTAAAAATAGGGTCTTGGGGGAAAGGGAGACTTGTATACTTGGTAGGGGCACAGGCCTTGGAGACATGCCAGAGAAGAATTTGACTTAGGATTCATGGAGACAGGGAGGGAAGACCAGGAGGTAAAAGAACAAGTAGGACGGAAGCTATAAACCATTGAGGACTAAGCCTCCTASAATTTTCCATGGAGTGCTGGTGATTGCCTGTATTTCTATTGTACTGCTACAAATCATGTGGTGCTGTTTGTTTTTTTTTTAAATAACTTTATTTATTTATTTTTTTATGTGGTGCTGAGGATCAAACCCAGTGCCTCATAAATGCAAGGCAAGTGTTGTACCACTGACCTATGACCCCAGCCCCATGTGGTGCTATTTTGAAACAGCTACTGAATCTTATTATCTAAAAGTGATATTTGTGAATCAACCAAGAGTTCAACAATGTAGAGTAAATGCTTTTATTTGTGTGCGTGTGTGCATGTGTGTGATAAAGTGTCCCTTCCATTAAAATGAAACTGATTATTTTGGAAACAGGAATTGACATTTTGGTGAATAATGCCAGTGCTATTAGCTTGACCAACACATTGGAAACACCTACAAAGAGAGTGGACTTGATGATGAGCGTGAACACCAGAGGCACCTACCTCACGTGAGTCACAAGGAAAAGTTGTGGGGGGAGAGTCACAGTGTTTTCACAAACAGATGTGAACTGAATTAGCAATATAGTTTTAAGCTAGCAGATACATTTTACTATTTTATTAAGCTGAAGGTAGTAGTATTGTAAGTGTGGTTCTAAGAGATTTCATATAATATAAAAGACAGGGCTTGTTGCTGTGAAAAATGTACTTGATCCAGGATTAATGCTAATAAGTGCCAGGCCTGCAAGGGGAAGATGGAAAGGTTTTGTCTCACAGATCAAGGGAAAGCTCATGTTTACAGTGTAAATGAAATGCATTCTTTCCTGTGAGTATAAGATATAGTCTGGAAAATAGATTTAGTTGGTTTCTACTGATGATTTGATGAAAATAGGGTATAATATT